CTCCGCCGGGGCGGCGCCGGGCTCGGGGGAGGGTTTGTGGTGGCGACCGGCAAAGTTCAGTGGGGGCCTGTGGGTCAGAATCATAGAGCGGTTTGTTTGGGTGGGAAGGGACCTTAAAGACTATCCACTTCCAGCCCCCCTGCCGTAGGCAGGGGCACCTCCCACTGGATCAGGTTCCTCAAAGCCCCATCCAGTGTGGTCTTGACCGCTTCTCAAGAATGGGGCATCCACAGCTTATCTGAGCGACCTGTTCCGAGGTCTCACTGTCCTCACAGTGAAGATTTCCTTCCTTATATCTAAGCTAAATCTACCCTGTTCTAAGTTGAACCCTTTACACCATATCTTGTCATAACAAGCCTTTGTAAATGTATGTATGTCCCCCCCATCTTTCATGTAGGTCCTATTTAAGTAATGGAAGGCTGCACTAAGATCTCTTTAGAACCTTCTCCAGGCTGAACAACACCAACAATCAGTCCTCATAGGATAGGTCTTCTGGGTCTCTGAACATCTTCGTGGCCCTCTGGACCTGCTCCAGCAGGTCTGTGTTGTTCTTGTGTTGGGGGCTCCAGAGCTGAACACAGTACAGCTCTGAGGTGAGGGACTCAGAGTAGAGCAGAGGAGAATCTCCTCCCTTGACCTGCTGGTCACACTTCTGTTGATGCAGTTTGGGATGCGATTGGCTTTCTGGTTTGTCAGCGCACATCGCTGGCTCATACTCGGTTTTTCTTATCTACCAAGTCATTCTCCACAGGGCTGCTCTTAATCCACTAATCCCCCAGCCTGTACTGGTACCAGTGATTGTCTTGACCCAGGAGCAGGACCTTGCACTTGGCCTTGTTGAACTTCATCAGGTTCATGCAGGCCCACGTCTCAAATCTGTCAAAGTGCCTCTAGTTGACGTCTGTTCCCTCCAATGTGTGGGCCGCACCACACAGCTTGGCGTCCTCCACAGACTTGCTGAGGGTGCACTCAACCCTGCTGTCCGTGTTGCCAGCAAAGGTGTTAAACAGCACCAGTCTTAACAGCAGCTCCTTGGGAGCACTGCTTGTCACTGGTCTTTGCTTGGACACAGAGCTGTTGACTGTAACACTTTGAGTGTGACCATCCAACTAGTTCCTTATCCATGGAGTTGTCTGCCCATCAAATACATGTCTTTCTAATTTGGAGACTGAGATATGCAAGACAGTGTCAGACACTTCTCACAAGTCCAGGTATTTGCTGTTCAGAAGCGTCCTGCTTGATCTGTACCTTCCTTGACTTTTTCTGTTACTGTGCTCGTAAGAGAAATACTTTTTGAAGTATTGTAGAGTATCATCGTCCCTTCTGAATGTTCCCTTTATGTAAATCCATTTTTATTGTATTTAACCTAATGTAGATTTTGGTATTAGTCAGTAACTGGCTGGTAAAGCAGAAGCTTTCTTTGAAAAAGTGGACAGAGAGCAAATGGGGAGTGTTTTATTGCAGGGGAAAATAAAAGAAAAGTTGTGGTTGCTGCTACATAATTGAAAGGAAAGTGAAGTTAGGAACTCAGAAGGCCTTCTGTTTTTCTTTTCAGAATCTTCCTTGTAGACAAAGAATGGCATATCATAGAACCACAGAATGGTAGAGATTTGGAAAGGACCTCTGGAGATCATCTAGTTCAGGCCTTTTGCTAAAGCAGGTTCACTGAGAGCAGGTTGCACAAATTTCTGCAGAAGGAGAGTGCAGAACCACTCTGAGGAGTCTGTTCCAGTCCTCTGTCAACCTCACAGTAAAGAAGTTTTTCCTGATGTTTAGGTAGAACTTCCTGTGTTCCAGTTTGTGCCCATTGCCCTTTGTCCTGTTGGTGGGCACTGCTGAGAAGAGTCTGGCCCCATCCTCTTGAGACCTGCCCTTTAGTTACTTACAAGCACTGGTAAGATCCCAGTCTTCTCCAGACCTAGTCGTCTCCAGACTGAAGACCCCCAGGTCTGGGGACTCTCTGTGAAGGGCAGGAGGAAAGCAGGGACACAAAGTGGCCGAGATGCTGGTTCTCTGATAGGGAGTTCTAAGTCAGAATAGTGAGAGCTGGCTTTTACGAGACCAGGAGGCAACTGGCATGTGGAGAAGTTTGGTTTGTACTTGGGGAGTAAATGCTTATTTAGAGAGTACCTTTCTTCCTTCCCTCATGGGCCACACCATATGTTTTACCCTTCTCCTTCTCCTGGCCCTTTCTGGGGATTCTTCCTCTTCTTAAGGCTTCCAAACTGAAGCCAAGCTGATCAACTTCTCTAACACAAACATTTAATGAATCTTTCTGCTTCTGAATTTTCAGACTACACGTTTGAAGGTAAAACTGAGTAAAGTGAATTTTGTGGAAAACAGGTTTGTGAGTGAAGGAGCATGTACAAAAACACACTTACAAAACCCTTGCCCCTCTCCAGTCTGGTGGTATTTTCTGTTTCCCTTTGGCATGCCACTGACTTCTTTGGAAGACTTGAGCTACACTAACTGTTCGGAAAATTGAGTTACTGTTTAGATTTTCTGTTGAGAAACTTATTGTGTCTGCTGAGCTGCCTGGTTGAGAAGGCGTGCGCAGTAGTTCTTTTCTCACTGTCTTTGGGTAAGGTGTCATTTCCATTTAAATTTTAGGGGAAATACCAAATCTGAATTACTCAAAGTCTTTAATGGACACAGTGGATTATTGCTGCTTTTATGAGAAACGGCTGTTTCCTTTTTTTTCCCCTTTGTTAGAAAGCCTAATTCTAAGCAGAATATTTTTCTTTTTAGCATTATTCAGGATTGGAAGAAGCTGTCTATAGGAACATCCAGGCATGCAAAGAACTTGCTCAAACCACCCGTACAGCTTATGGACCAAATGGTAAATAAATCCTAAAATTGTTGTAGTGTCTTTGAGCAAAACGTTACATTTGAAATCTACCTTCACAAAGAAGGATCTCTTTGTTTCTTGAGGACACACCTTGGACTTGCTCTAGAATTCTATATATAATTATACAACTTGATGGCTGTACAGATCATGCTTTGTTTGCTTAGCTCATGAGTTATGCACCGTATACCCACTTTCACCACGGTTTTGTACCTGTTACCGTGCCCCCATTTATCTTACTGCTGTATGGAACATCTGAAAAAATTAAAGACAATAGCTTGATAGATTGTCATAATGAACATAGCTATACCATGGCTGGCCAGGTATACAAAACCAAAGTGTTCTCCAGTGTCAGTTAACTAAATAATGTACTCCTATTTCTGAAGATAAAGCTGCTTACTCAGAAATTATTTTCTCAATCTTACACGCTCCCAAGTGTTACTTCACAAAAGTCTTTTAGGTTCTTAAATTATCAGTAGGGCTAACATTTGAAGGTGTATGATACACCTGAAAGTTCTGAAACATTATCTGTGTACCAAATCGTGTTTGGCTAATGAATGTTTTTGTTAATGTTCCCCCGCCTTCCCCTTAGGAATGAACAAAATGGTTATCAATCATCTGGAGAAGCTTTTTGTTACAAATGATGCTGCAACTATCTTGAGAGAGCTGGAGGTAAGTTTTCTTGCTTCGGAAGATGTCAGTTGTGATCTAGCGCTTCTGTTCATGGGCTGCTATTATTCTGAATGTTGATAAGGAAATGCATGTCACTCAGATGATTTATGTATGTTATTTTGTAAATCATTGACATTTTTCACTGAATTTGAGTAAAGTCGATGGGCTATATCCACAATGAGGGGTAGAACTCTTTTGTAAAGCAGCGTTAAGTAGTTGCAGGAGATGGTTAATAATTGCCATAATTTCCTGCTGTTTCTCCCCCAAACCAGTGTAAATTTAGAAGAGGGTATGTCTAGACAGTACCGTGTTTGGAAAACTCTGAATGAAACGGCCATTGTATTAATCTCTCAGTGTTGGTGGTTGCCATGTTCTCCTGTCTGCTTAGAGAACATTAATATGCTTTAAGAAGCTGAGGATATAGCAGCAGCAGCATCCTGGGAATTCAGTAAAAAGTTTAGAAAGACTGACCCATCCAAATTCTTTTTCTCACTATTGAAATTGTATTTATATCACAACTTAAGTAATATTTTACTGAATACTATACTTACCGATAGAAATAGTGTGTTAAGTATTTCCTTAATGCATTGTGTTAGTAGAAGTAGGATATCTGTCAAAGTAGCAATTCTGCTTTTAAAAAATAATCTGCAGACCAGTTACTTAATCTAATGACTCTTGCATGTTAGTTTCTGGGATAAAATAATGGCTGCTCTAATTATATTCAGGAATACAGCGTTTTTATTGCATTTCTATGAAAGAAAAGTAAAGCAGTGCAATATTTAAGCAGAAAAAACACTAGCATTAAATTGTAATTTACATGTCTACTTTGTATGTTACACACATGAATTCAGCTTTCAGAGCTGAATTTCAGGCTGCTTTCCTATTGCAGAACATGATTATGAAGCCAATCATAATCTTGTGAAAAGATCATCCTGTAAAAATAGAACAGAATCAATATCAAGGATGTCTAATTCATGTTGTAGGGGGAACGTTCAGTTCTCTGATCGTTTTTCCTATATATTTGTACTTTTGCTTATTGAGGAATTTAGCCAATTAAGGTAATCTGTGCTGCTTTCTTTTCCAATTTTCTGCATTCTTAGTATCTTTAGGTACCATTTGAAATGAAAGAGCTTACACTGAATGCACAGGAAAACTTGGAGCATCCAGGTGGGATGTGTAACCAAGTTAAAACTTAGAACTGTTGGTATAATTGTTCGTGGTGTTGAGTTGTTTTCACCCTTTAGATTTCCAAGAAAAAACTTTCATGTCTGGTTTTAACCGAGTTATGTCTAGTTGTAACCAAGATGTGTAACTTCTTTCAAAGGTCCAGCATCCTGCTGCAAAAATGCTTGTGATGGCTTCCCACATGCAAGAGCAAGAAGTTGGAGATGGGACAAACTTTGTCCTTGTTTTTGCTGGAGTTCTTCTGGAGCTAGCAGAAGACCTTCTGAGGATGGGGTTATCAGTCTCAGAGGCAAGTTATATTGCTATTACAGTTTGCGTAGTTTAAATTCAGATTGCCATCGGCTAGTATTCTTGGGTCGTATTATTGTGAAACATCTTCTTCCTTCTGAACTGATTTTTGTCATAGAGATGTATGAAGAAGAACAGTGTATGTTTTGCTGCTTGTGATTGCTTGTTTCCCTTGTGAGCTTTTGCTTTTATCAATGTTCTATGGCCCTTTGAAAAGGAGAGAGAGGCAGTATGAATGTGCAGTACAAAGCCACACAGTGAATATTTGTTGTTTGCTACACAGGTGATTGAAGGATATGAAAAGGCTTGCAAGAAAGCCCTCGAAATTCTTCCAGACTTGGTGTGCTGTTCTGCAAAGAATCTTCGAGATGTTGAAGAGGTGGCATCTTTGTTGCACACTTCAGTGATGAGCAAACAATATGGCAATGAGCATTTTTTGGCAAAGCTTATTGCTCAGGCCTGTGGTAAGTGGACAAGAGCAGATGTATGCATCCATCTAAAAACTGAGTAGGTTTGCATGTGATCATTCCTCATGTCTTCATGTAAGGTAAAAGGTATGGCTTGTTCATGAGGTTGAGTTGGGTGGAGTGATTTAGTCTCTGAAGTGAGTATAAGCTGTCTCCTGGTAAACTCTTCATTGGCATTGTGGCTCAGAAGAGGTCTGTTTTCTACTAAACATTTATAGAAATAGATTTCTAGTCTTTTTAAAGCAAAAATCCATCTTGCTGCTTCTTGTTTTGTCATTAGGAAGATGTCTTATTCTTCAGATAAGCTGTTACTAGCATTAGCCACAGAACAATGGAAACAAGTTTGTAGTGGTGTTGAGTTGTTTTCTCCCTTTAGATTTCCAAGAAAAAACTTTCATGTCTAGTTTTAAGTGTTTCTCAGAATATTCTGGGTCAGACTTCAGTCTTTAATGTGCATGTGAAGATGGATATTTGGACTTAATTACCTGAGCAGCCCGAGTAGATGTTGTTTTCTGATTACTACATTGTAAAACAATATTTCTGTTTTGCTTAATGCATGTTATTAGCAGATTATAAGTGCCTTAAATTAAGGCAGGCATCTCAAACCACTGAATTTTAGTACTTCAGAAAAGCTCTAGGCATTATTTGTTGTGTCGTTGTTTGAATGTATTCATTAAGCAATATAATTTTTTTTCCCCCCTTCCAAACAGTTTCTATTCTTCCTGATTCTGGTCATTTCAACGTTGATAATATCAGAGTGTGCAAAATTGTGGTAAGTTGGAAGCAGCTAGCTTTGCTATATTACTAAGGTGAACAGTTTAATGAAAGTTAGTTTTTAGCTCTTTGAACTTTGACAGTGCCTTTTCTAATCTCTGTTGTGTTGTGGCATGCGTAATAAGTTTTGGAAATTGATCTTTACATTCCATGTGTAGTGCCCAGTAGGAGCTTTCATAAACAAAACAATATTGAAAGTTTATGCTAAATCAGATACATTAACTTAATTATACAGGGGGATGTTGATTGCATCTTTGTTGTAAAAGCAGTCACAAGATCAGCTAAGCCTGCTAAGCTGCAGTCTGGTGGAAATGTAGGGGTCTAATATTTCATTCTTTTTGTCAGGCCTCAGTGTTGTACATAGGATTGGAACAAGTGTCTATCTAATATGGCTTTCCCCCCCATCTAATATGGCTTTCCCCCCCCCGTGTTTTTTCCCTGCTAATAAATACATAATAAGCTGAGCACAGAAAATGAATGTCACAGGCCTTAACAGGGACCACCAACTAATCTTAAAATGGGAACCTGAAAAACAACATTTGCTAGATCAGTTTGCCTTACTTCTTTGTGCTGTAGTGAAAACTTAGGTTGCTACATTCAGATTAATGCAAGCATTGCTCTTCATACAGGCTAATGCAGCTTTCTGACAGTAAATGATCAATTATATGACTTCCCTCATTCCATTCCTTTCCTTTCAGGGTGCTGGTATCTCTGCTTCCTCAGTACTTCATGGCATGGTTTTTAAAAAAGAAACTGAAGGAGATGTTACTTCTGTCAAAGATGCAAAAATAGCTGTGTATTCCTGCCCTTTTGATGGTATGATAACTGAAACTAAGGTATGTAGAAGCTCAAAATAAGTTAGGTATTTCTGCGCGTGTACTCTTATTTTTAGACTTAACTATAAATATTCTTGACACTTGGTGATTGAGATATTTTTGTTAATATTGAGTTCATTCATTTGAAAAAGTTCATAGAAAACGTTTGACCCTACTTTTGCTTTACAGTGTTTTTGGAGTTGGAGAGTTTTGTTGGGTTATTTGAGACAAACTACATGCTAAAATATTTAAATGTCGAGGTTGAGTAGAAATGCTTAGAATTACCTGTTTCTTGTCTTATTTTACTTCACCCCATTGGCTGGGAAGGGTGGCGGTGTAATAAAATAGGATGACTTGAGGTTTATGGATAGGTTGGAAAGGCAGAATGGTTTGTCAAGAACATCTAGGCCTGCAGTTAATGCTGGATTGGTAACAGCACACGTGTTTTACCAGGGCACTGTACTTATAAAGAATGCCGAAGAACTGATGAATTTCAGTAAGGGAGAAGAAAATCTGATGGATTTGCAAGTCAAAGCTATTGCGGATAGCGGGGCAAATGTGGTAGTTACAGGTGGCAAAGTGGCAGACATGGCACTTCATTACGCCAACAAATACAATCTGATGGTAGTCAGGTAAGTGCTAGAAGAGCGTAAAAACATTTGATCTTCCAGGTTTATGAAATACACTTGCCATATTGTCTCTGGTGTCTGAAAAGAATTAGAAGCAAAATATTGTGAACTGCTTGGTTTCCTAGTGGATCAAAACGTGAGCTGCAATTTGGTTGTCTCATAGCTTCTGTTCCTTGATAGTGTTTCCCCTCTGTGACAGCTAATTGTGGAGTAACTTGCATATATGGTACTGCTATTCTGGTTTAAGTGCCTTTATAGCACAACTGAAATAAGAATATAAAAATTATAGATGGATGTGGCCTCAAAGGCATGTAAGACTATACCTTAAAGGTTCCTCCTGGCCACAGTCCCCATGTGATGCTTTAGCAATGATGGCATATGCCTCCATGCATCACTAACATACTGATGGATGAAAAAACAAATTCCTTATACTTTCCTGTCATTTTTGTGGGCCTGATATCTTCTTATCTACAAATAAAGCATGTTGGTACGTACTTGAAAAACAATCTGCGAAACATAAAGTCAGACTGCTAGCAGCAGCACTGTCATCCTCCACAAATAAGCAGCGATTTATTGAAAGCTGTAACTTTATGGGTGGTGTCCAGAAAGTTTGATTTTCTTGAAATGAGGCACAATACTATAATCTTTTGCATAACAAAGAAGGATTATCATGGAGGTGTTGCAAAGGTAATTCAAGTCTTATGCAGTGGAAGATGAAGTTTGATCATTTCTGTGTATTTGAACTACTTACTTGTTTTTAAATTCTTAGAAAATGGTCTGTGCAGCATCTGTGAAAACATAATAATTAACTTGAAAAAAATAGATGAGTGGATGTTATAAATTCATACAGTACCTTTTGATAGGTGTCATTAATTTAGAAAATGCTGCTAAGTTAGAGAATACTTGTATGTGTTAACATTTGTTCAGAAAATTATTAGAAGGATTGTGGTTTTTTGTTTTTAAAGGTTGAACTCAAAGTGGGATCTGAGAAGACTGTGCAAAACCGTTGGTGCAACAGCCCTACCCAGACTGGTATGGACTTTTCAAATGAGGAGCAGAAAGGAGAGAACTGATGAATGGAGTTGTCTCTTAACTCTTGTTTCTCTTTCCAGACTCCCCCTACTCTAGAAGAAATGGGTTACTGCAACAGTGTGTATTTATCAGAGGTTGGGGATACACAAGTTGTTGTGTTTAAGCATGGTATGTATGTTCTGTAGATCTAATGTTATTGTTATAGAAATAATGATCTTTGTATGTGTATTACATCTAACAAACTGAATTCAGTAATGCACCTGTCTGTCTGAACAGAAAAGGAGGACGGTGCCATTTCTACTATACTTATTCGTGGATCTACAGACAATCTGATGGATGACATAGAGAGAGCAGTGGATGATGGAGTAAATACTTTCAAAGTACTCACAAGGGTAAGTTACTGGAACAATTCTCTTGTAAAAAGTGAACTGTGGATCAGTTTGAGGCAAGAGTGGTGCTTGCTTTTTGTGCGTTTTCTATGAAGTCTGTAACAGATACAAACATCAGGTTAGGACCATTCTTGAGGTGTAGAGAAGATTGCTGCCAACATCCTTGTGAATACAGTGTACATAAAAGATGGTGCTCAGCATGCACTGTGCTCGATTTTCCAGTAATGACTGAGCTCTTGAAGATTGGTTTTACCGCTTTGTAATAGCAGTCAGCTCTTTCTTGTCTATTTTCCTGAACTGTTTCTCTTTTGTAATGTTCCTTGGAAACCAGACACAGAAGAAAACCTACCTAGCTTTGTTTCTCACTGGGGTTTGTGAGGAACTGGCTGGGTGCAGATTAAATTTCTTGTTCACTGGTGACAAGACATGCTTCCTCCACATGGTACATATAGCACTTTATAGATGGAAGTTCTTCAGAGTTTTTTCTGAGCAGCTTTTGTGAGCCTGAATATTATTATTTCCTTTTTTTTTTTTTAAATACAAAAGAAAATGTTTGTGTATTTGCTTAGAAGGTGTCATGCAAAAAGTCTTTTAAATTTTTTTTTGACACTTACATCCTGTACATATTAATGTAGGCACATTGATTTGGAGTACAGAACCAGCCATGACTACATTTATTATTGTCTCCAGGAGTTGTCCTAACTTCTGATTTACGATGATTACTTTTCTGTTGAAAAGATTTGGGAGTTCTTAAGTGGTAGTTGGTGTGCCAAAGGATATACAAAGTGCTTAATTTAAAAAACCCAAACAAACGCAAACCACTCAACACCTTGTGATACCTTTTGACATATTAAATTTAGCATATAGTAGATTGATTTCCTTCATGGTAATTCCCAATAGGTTAATGGGAGGAGAAAATCTATGAGTTCTGTTATTAGTAACCAAAGACGTGAAATTATTTTTTTAAAGCACAAAGAAACCATGAAGAAAGTCCCGACACAAACCCCACATTTTCATTTTTACAAAAGTAGATATTTTCCTTCAAAGACCTTTGGAATAAATGAGTACACTTGTAAATTTCTCATACTATGCATGTTTGTTCTGAAGGGCATTCTTTTGTGTGTGTCTGATAAAGTGCTGTTGCATTCTTCTGGATAGAGTATATACATTCTAAGAAGTAAAAATCAGTATGATGCTTTAAGGAAAACTGCATTTTGGGATGGTCTGTTCACAGGATAAACGTCTTGTTCCTGGAGGTGGTGCAACAGAGATTGAATTAGCCAAGCAGATCACATCTTACGGAGAGGTACAGAAAAATGGGCTTTTTGTCTTACATACACACGCATGTGTTCTTAAATGTATATGTGACTTACAAAAATACGTACATACTATTTTACACCAAAATATATATATATTTATGTGTATTAATGCATATAAATCAGTAGAAAATGTGGGGGGAAAATACCGCCCTATCTTAAGTTTTTTGAAATGCTGATGTGGTTTCCATCTTCACTCTAGAGTTGTCCTGGGCTTGACCAGTATGCCATCAAGAAGTTTGCTGAGGCATTTGAAGCCATTCCTCGGGCACTGGCAGAAAACTCTGGAGTAAAGGCCAACGAGGTCATCTCCAAACTTTATGCTGTGCATCAGGAAGGGAACAAAAACGTTGGATTTGATATTGAGGTACACAGTCTTCTCATATTACTTGGTGGTCTGTAATACAGGGTTAAATTTAAGCATACTTCTGTCAGTATCAAGTATTTATAGATTAATTTAAATCATTGAAGCTCTGTGTTGCACAGTCTAGAAGGATAACGTCTTAGAACTGTGATACTGAAGTGGTTGTTTTTCATCAAAAGCAGCTAAATTCCATGTAGGATAGTGGCCTTATGTAAAGAGGTAAAGTGAGATACTGAACTAATGTGATGGAAAATGAGTCTTTAGTGATTAGTTATTTTGTCTTCCTGCTAATGAATTAGGAATTAAGGTTTTCTGAAGAGAAAAGATGAGATCAGAAAAGTGATAACTTGTTCTAAACCTGTAACCTTGAAAACCCAGTAACTTCCTAGGTAGAAGCCTGAGAAAGTTTTGAATGCTGTTTTTCTGACAGGCCGAGGCTGCTGCTGTGAAGGATATGTTGGAAGCTGGTGTATTAGACACGTACCTTGGAAAATCCTGGGGTATCAAGCTAGCTACAAATGCAGCAGTAACTGTCCTAAGGGTAGATCAGGTAAGCTTACAAATAACTCAGCAGCTGACCTGAAACATTTAACTCAGTGTGAAGAACATTAATGCAAAATACCCCAACCTTCTGCAAATGCAAGGCATAAAACTATGATATCTGAAAAGTGGCTTGTTTTATTTCTGAAAGGCAGGAAGCAGTTTGTTCAAAAGCTCATAGTCTGAACTTTTGCAATGTTGCTGCTCCCATAGGAATGTTATCAGTGGTGTTTTTTGTTCATTTGGTTGTTTTTTTTATGATTTGACAGTTGATACTTGTATTCAGAAATTTATCCGAACTGCGGTTAGGAACAAGATTTAACACAATAAACCTTCTTTCATATATTGTGTTTACATGAAAAAACATCTTTTAGGAAAAACTGAGGTTATGATCTTAATGTCAGAAATCTTCACTTTATATGTGGAACTTTAGCAAAAATGTATTTGCATGTAAAATTTCTGTAGATTATTATGGCAAAAACAGCAGGAGGTCCAAAAGCCCCTAAGCAACAAGGACATTGGGATAAGGATGACTGGAAAGATGAGCCTGAAAACTAGTATGCAGTAAGCTCTGGTTCTCTAGCAGAGGTACCTGTGTGTGAGAGTGCATGCACAAGTGCATTGGCAAGCACATGGCAGATATTTCCTTTCTGTGGGACTTGTAACACTGCTGTTCTAGGTGTGCTGATTTGCTACATTTTGTATTTGTGCCTTTGCAAATGAATTTTACTCCCGAAACTAAATTTTCATTGAAGAGATGACAGGCATAGTTTTAGTTTGACCTTACTTGTCACTGTTGCAAGTGCAGAAAATGAGGCTTTAATGTGGTAACTATTGGACTTAATGATTTTTAAGTGTTTGGACTGAATAATTCCGAATAACAGCTCTGATAATTCTGCTTTCTGTAGCGTGCGCCCTGTTAACCAGTCACTCGTTAGCCTATTTAAGCACTTGCTTTCAGTAGACTAACTGAAGTCTTAATCTGCATGCAAAAATGAGGAAAAAACCCTTTTTTATATATCAGGGCTGAGCTTCTGCCATTTCAAGGAAAAAAAAATAATTTGTGCATATCTCAGATGGATAATAACATTCACTGGCTTAGGTTCAGAGTAGGGAAACTGCATGAATTTAGTGAATGTTGACAGCCAGCAACATACTGTAAGTTAGAGCAGGATGAGAGTCTGATGCTAACCTGATCTTTCTCTACTTCCCTCTTATCTTCAAGATCATTATGGCAAAACCAGCTGGTGGCCCAAAACCTCCATCAGGAAAGAAAGACTGGGATGAAGACCAAAATGACTGAACAGTTTAACTGTACTCCTTAAGTGACATGATTATGTGACATTTTTTTGATATTCCGGTTGGAGCCTGTGATGATGTTTCGGTCTGTTGCCTTGTAAGTTATGAACTGTGTCCGATGGAGTGCAGAACTTGAAACTCTTCAATAAAAGTACTCGCTGTTAAAACGTTAACTGTCAGTTTATTTGGCCTTAGGGCTGATGTGGCTGTTGCCAGTATGTGGCTGTGCAGGGGGGTGTGGGGTGACATTGCGTGGGGGTGGTGGGTGGACTGCCAGACACCCTCACCAGGACAGAGGTGGAAAATAAGTAGAAAAAGCTCATGGGCTGAGATAAAGACAGGGACATCACTTACCAGTTACTGTCTCAACATGTGGAATATTAATTTATTATTAATTAAAAATGAGTAAAAGGGTGAGAAACAAGCAGAAACTAAACCACCTTCCTCTTCGTGTCCCTGTCTTCCCAGTAAGGGACAGAAAATTGAGGTTGTCATCAGTCTGTAACAGCTCATGAGCTGCTTCAGCACAGGGATCTTCCGTACAGGTTACAGTATAGCAGGAGCAACTGCTTCTGTGTGGTCATCCGTGGGCTGCAGTTCCTGGCTGGGGGACCTGCTCCTGAAGGCTGCAGCTTCCCCTAAGGCAGACATCCACCTGCTTTGGTCTGGGGGCTTCTACAGCTGTGATGTGAAGGGAGGTCCAGCACATTCCTCCCCTCCGCTGCAGCAGCAGGACAGCCTGCTCCAGCATGGTGCCTGCAGGGGCTCCCCGCTTGCAGGCTGGGGGCTCCTGCTTGTCTCTACGCTGGCGGCTGTGGCTCAGCCGCGCCCTGTGGGGCTGGTTGGAGCTGGCTTTGTCTCCTCTCAGGGGCCACGTCTGCAGCAACCCTCCCACAGCACCTGGGCACCTGCAGCTGCTACAGTGGATGAGGGAGACCAACCACAAGCTGCAGGAAGCTCCTAACTTCAGGAAAGCATTATCTGTAATTGTTGCAGCTCGTGTTCTTGGTTGTGCTCCTTACTCAGTATTTGAGTGTAAAAAGACAAATGAGTAATGATGTAATTAAGTATGGCAGCAGGTCTGCAGTCCATGCCTACATTCATTTTTGTTGCATCTATTTTATCCTCAGACTTGGGAGTCTCCGCACTCTCAAAATGGCAGTGTGACAGCAGTGAACTGCATCTCATTCTGATGGCCTTAAAAATAAATGCTGAGCGATGATAACATGATGCAGAGCACTGGAATCTTCCAACTGAATGCCCCTGTTAAGATTCTTGGAAAGTAAACAGCTTGTGAATCTCCGAGTAGCTTGAAAGAACTACACTAGAAATTCAAGCCACTTCAATAATTAATCCTTTTATTACTCTTGCCAGAGCATTTCACAGCCAGGAGGGAGTGGAAGGCTAAATCAAGCTGGAACTATCTTATGCCTAAATAAGGCTGCCAATGCAACAGCTACGCTCATGCTTGCTTTATAGTCACTCGCTGGTGTGGCTGAAAAATAAACTCAGCAAGTTTTCAGAAGGATTGGCATACTGATACAGTCAGCTGCACAAGTGCTACTGCTGATGACTTTAAGGGTAAGAAGAATATTTAAGACTGCCCATTTTCTTAGTAAGGTTGTGAAAAATGCACTGAATGTAAGCAGCTGGTGCTATAGCATGGAGGAGCCAAGATTTTATTTATGTGAAACCCAATGTGAAGCGTAGCCTGGGAAGGAGACAACTTTAAAGTTAGACATCACTGTGGGACTAGCTTTCCTATTCCTCCAGTGCAGAAAGGCTATGTGGGAGTGCCCGTAGCGGAAAGGGGTCTCGACCCCATCCTTGCCCCAGTATCAGCATAAGATGCCCATGCAAAAGAATTCCTAGAGTTTGCAAACCAAGGGCTATTCTCTTGGACGTAAACCAGCAGCAGAAGGAGAGCTGATGCTGAGATGTGTCCCAGCTCTAAGATGTGTAGGAGGGAACAGCTTATGCTTGGAACCCAGCTCTAAAATATACATGGAACAGATGATAGCCGAGATAACTATAGTTCTAAATCATAGCTGGTCCCCTCTAAGTAAAGAGCTGCTGACTAAGATGTACAGCACTTGAAGGAAACTAAGAGTAGCAGTTGCTTGTCTTCGACAACAAACAAATAGCTCAACAGAAGCTGAAAGCTGTAATTTTGAAAATTTTTTTTATTTAGAAGTAGTTAAAGCACTGGAAAAAGTTTAAGTTAACCACTTGTCAGTGTTTCTAAGAAGCATAAAGTATATTTCTGCAGTTGTATGCAGTGGCTCCAACATGTCAACAGCACGATTTGCAAGTCTCTGCCTTCTTTCAGGCCCGTACAAGAAGGCTTCTCAGGAGTTACAGCAGTCGCTCATAGAACAGGAGATAGGCTTGGGAGCTCAGCACTTTGGATGCAGACACAGCTTGTACGTGGGTATCACTGATGTGGAACCACTGCCCTTTTACTGGTTCAGTTTCTAAAGCTGTGAAAGGAAGAATTTAGGAGTAAACGTTATTACAAAGGATTGAAGCAATTGATCTTGTTACTGTTCTGCAGTATTAGTAAAATATTTCTGATTATTTACCTTGAGGAGGTTGTCCTCGAAGGACAAGATCAGAGAGATGGTTGTTCATACTTCTCATTTTAGCATAAGCAGTGTAGTGCCCAGACCTCATTGTTCCACTGTGTTCAACAACTCCATAGAGAGAGTACAGTACTTTTGTATTCCCTTCAGCCACGTTCTATAAAAGCAAAGGTTTAAGTATGTCAGTCAGGTACTGGGTTTTAAACAAGGCTAGAATGTGAACTCTTTGCTCTGCTGATGATAGAAGGAAAGTTGGCCATTGCAGCCTCATACAAGCACCAAGGCTATATGATCAGTGGAAGTACACTGACTCAAGTACAAGTTGCACTTGCAAGTTATCCTACATTATCACACAAAATAACTGAAGCTTGACAAGTGTTCCACAAAGACTCTGCTAAGCAGCTTAACTGTGAAAGCACATTAGAATGTAAGAAAGGAGAATTTGATTGTTCACCCACTTACTTACTTTACATTTAGCTGTACAGAAAGGAGCCAAGTCTATCACTTCTGGAAACTTGATGTGCCTGCTAACCTTCCGTAGATTAAATCCAGCCTTAAACAGACAAAGTAGAGGAAAACCCCATAATTTTAAAATGTAGCATATTAAACCCATGCTTAGTTATGTTTCAGGTTAAAGTTTCAACTATACAAAATCAGTTTGACATTACATGGAACTGGGAAAAACAAGTTGGTTGTTTTTTTTCTCCAATGCCCAAGGTTTCCCAGCATTACCTCCTTGCCCCCACATGCTGCATGGGAGCACAAGCCAAGACACCTCCTCAACTCACTCTTATGGTAACTTAAGGGTAGCAAAAGTGGAAAAAGAATCAGCTCTAAGGTACCTATCTAACTGAGGACATCTCTTGCTTCTCAGATTCTGTAATATGCCTGAGGATCTAATTTTGTATCAACAAAACTGATGTAACTTCAACTCCCACCTTATTCAAATAATCTGCCAGTATCAAACTGGAAAAGCAAAAGGAGAAGATGACAAATGTTATTTCCTTAATCATGTTACAGTCTCTTGGAACAGGCCACACATTTCCATTTCTCCGTGAAATTATTTTTCATCGACTTAAAATTCACCTCCCTTATTTTAAAAGTATTTTGACCAAAACACTGAATGGCTATAAAATATATAAGAAGCAATACTGTCTCACGTCCTTTTCCTTTTCCTTTCTTGAAAAGCTAAAGCCTGAAATTAAAAATTTTTCTAGAACTCAGAAAAAAAGGTAAGCCACTTACTTTACTTCAGGGCCTACTGTCCTGGTTTGGGTTAGAACAGAACTACAGAACTAATTCTGTTCAGTGATTTTGCTTTCCAGCTAAGTCTCTCCTAACTAACTGCCCTGCCTGCAGTTAGCAGCACGTTTTCGCAGTCAGAGTCTGCCTCTAGCAGTGGTAACGCTCCATCTTTAGAGTGACCACCAAGGACTGGTGTGCAGACCAAGGTCACTGCCAAATCCTGTGCACCACACAGAGCGGGCAGAAAGCAAAGGCCACACCTGCAGGGAGGAGCAGACAAGTGACCCTAAATTCACCAGTGGGGTATTCCATCCCATATCCCTCATATTCACTGTAAAAGCTGAAGGATCATGAGGGTCAAACCCTCGGTCTTCCTTCCTCCCTTTTGCTGCTCCTTCAATGGCTGGCATCCAAGGAAGGTTCCATCCATCCTGCCTTTGATCCCGAGCCCTGTGTTCCTGAAGCAAGCTCCAGAATCCAGCTCCTGTACCCACTCTGCTGCTGAGTCCAGTCTGGGACTTTCCCCAGGAGCTGCTCCCCAGCTGGGGGTGATGGTGACATATTGCCATCTGGGGTGGGGGAGAAGCTGGGTTCAATACTGGTTTTGTATATATTTGTACATATTCCATTTTATTATCATTTTTACTGTTATTATCAGTAGTAGTAGTATTGAAGCTGTTTTCTTCTTTTAATCGATATCTCTCTCTGTCTCTCTTATTCCCTTTCTCTTGCCCTTTGAGGAGGGGGAGAGGGGGGGTTAACAGAGAGCATCTGTTACAGGTCTGGGTGTGGCCCTGACCCTAAACCACGACATCCATAAATAAGATTTGAGGTGCATTGCTTTCCATTCACCCCTTTGTTCTTTTTCCCTCCTCAGTATGATTTGGAATCATCTTTTCCAATTCTACTGACCTATTTGTTACATTCATTTAGTAAGGGATCCTATTCTACCTGGAATGAAACGTAAGAGGCCACAAACTGCTGCAGTAGCAGGAAACAACTAATGTTAAGATACTGCCTAATACAGTAAGCAATAACAATAGTGTGGGAATATATTGCAAATAAGCTCACAAAAGTATTTTCCAGGTAACTAGTGGGATATTCTTTCAGGAAAACACACCAACTCGTCAAGGACTACAAAACCCAACACTGAGCACCAATGCCTTCCAAACCTTGGAAAAAAAACCCAAATGAAAAGAGGCTTATAGGAAACAAGAACTAAATGTTTGCATATTTTAAGTTAAATATATGTGCATATATACACAGTAAACTGATAGTATATGCATACACATTTTTGCAGTATCAGCCTGCTTCTTACCTGGTGAAACCTCTTTAAATGAAGAGTTAAAATTGGTGGAACAAGAGAGATTAGCATCTGCTTTGTGGCATTAGTATAAACATACTTCTTTTCACCTGCAGAGAAGAAAAACCACCAAGGATTAACATCTAAACAAATGTCACAGTAAGAATGTCTTTATTTTCACTATTTAGAAGTGTCATCTACCACAACAACTGATAAACCAAACATTCCCCTTTTTAACATCATGTTAAGTGATGAGCTGAACAACAGCTGCCATCGTGCAGATCCCATATCACAAAAGTAACCACTCACACCACGTCCGAGTAGTGTCACCACAAGCAGCATCAACTCTCACTTGTTCTCTACAACCCTCAGCCAGGAATTGCATGTGGCTGTTACTGCCCTATTCAGCAAACACCAGCACGGTTTCCCGATGACTGTCACCACAGAATTTTCATGTTTGAGCAAAGATGAACAGCTACTCCCTACATTCATCCACATAATGGATTTTCAGACTGAAATGCCCTTTCCCTTCCCATGAACCCAAACCCTCTCTTTTCCAGTCCTGCAGTATTCTGCACCCAAGTTTGTAAGCCTACTAGTCTTCTCAGTACAAGAACTTAATGCATGTGAAAGAGTTTCTCACAACCTACCCACTGAACACTAGTTCGACTGATCCGAATTAAAGTTTTACAAATACCATGTTAGGGACATTCCTCCCCTTACCCACCCAAGCAGCAGATAGGGAGATATTTAAAGTTTTCTCTTAAAAGGCAATTTGTCATACTTTTTATGTTCATCTTTGGTCCACAATGTCTTTGTGTACATACATCACAGAGGAGTTTATTGGTCTCAGTAAGTTTTTCATTACGGGTAAACTGATATAAACAGTGATAGATTGAACCTTCTTCTGGGTTCAGAGCTTCTCTATTTGCAAGAGTACAAAATGCTGTTTCTGGATCCTCAGTTGATACTTCACACGTCTTGACAGGAAGATTCTGAAGGTCGTCTAAGATACTCGTATCAAATTCAACATTGCTACCTAGGTGCAGTTTTGAAAAGTCAGTAGCAAGCTCTTCCTCATCTTCATTTTCATCATCCTCATCTTTCAAAGATAGGTTGTCAAGGCCATTGACCAACTCCGTAGGAGGATCTAAGCCTTCCATAGGAAGATCCATGAGACATTCATTTTCCACACAGTCTTGTTCTGGCTTTTCTGTATTTTCATGCCTGCTCTGAACTTCTGTACTATTTCCCTGTACACTCAATTCTTTTTGAGCTAAGCAGTGCTCTTTGCAATCATGTGACGATTCCTCCTCTTGTTGCTTCACATCAGGGCTTTCAGAGTTAATTTCTGCCTCTGATTCTTGGTTATACTCCACATCTTTTTCTGATGGTTCAGTTGCACAGACACCTGTCAAGTGAAGCACCTTTCCTTGAAGTTTTTGCTGGCGGCGCTGGCTCTGAATATTGCAATACAAAATAGAATTGGAATAAAAAAAACAGAGCAATTTTAAATGATACTTAGCACTCCTTACCATTTCTTTATCGAAATTTTTGTAGTATGCAAAGGGTGTGAGGTGGGGAGAACAATCTATGACTTAATGGTCAGAAGTGACCAAGCAATACTGAATTTATCCTCACTCAGATATAGTTCCCACTGCCCTTGTTACATAGTATCTTCAAAATACAACTAATGATTCCCTTTATATCGTCCCAACCCTTTCTTATGTCTGCATGCTGAAAAGTTTTATGGATAGCCTTATAGAGGATAACAGCTGCCTGGTACAAATTAATGCTACTTCACACAGGCAACAAATTCCACACTCCTCTGGATACTAGCTTATTCCTAGCACAGCAACCCTCAACCGAAAACGTAACTTCTTAATAGCAAAGATGTAAACACAATTTATCTTTTCAGTTCTGCAGCTGAGCAAGGAGAAATTCTAAGCTCTCTCCTCCACCATCTAAATTGCACAAGCAAAAAGAATATGTTTTACCAGAAGTTGTAAACACTTCATTAATAAAAGTGAAATAAGTTACCAAAACAAACCTTGGCTTGTTTTTTGGCCTGTTTCTTTACTTTTTTCTGAAGGTGCTTGCTTGTACCAGAGGGCTCATCTCTCTGCTTAAGATAACAGTCATTGATTTTGTCTTCTTCATCTTCAGATTCTTTGGCTTTTTTAACATTTCTCTCATTTGTAAGTTTTACTTTCTACAAAAACCAAAAAGCCACAAAACAAACACAGAAGAAACGTTACTGTCCTGAATAACAAAATAGTATTCTAAAAGAAAACTGTAGGGATGAGATGTTACCCAAGTTTTCAGCTCAAGGTAAAACATTTTAGTGACAGTTACGTAAAACTAACTCATTTATGCCACCCTAACATTTACAAAAGGGGTGCCTCATCACTTGAGAAGGTCTATGTGAAACAATGACTTGCAAAATGAAACAGTATGCAAAAGTAAGGCTACCAAGGGCCAAATTCTGAACCTGTGAAGGGGCAACACTGCCTTTGGCTCCAACAGATACAAGTCTCAGTAAATGCACTGAAGACTAGCATCTGAAGCAAGTGGAGACTTTTTCAGTTGAACTGTCTGCCACAGAATTTGTTTGCTTCTGCTGAAATGAAACTTGTTGCAGAAGACGTATGATCCCTTTGGCTGAGGGGGTTTAATTTCAATGTTTACTCAATAGCTTTTGTGTGAGAACCGCTCCTTAAGAAATCTGAAATGTTACGTACCCAGATCAGCAATATGAAACACAAAGCAAATCAAATATTTTGAGTGTCTAAAGGTTGAGCAAATAAATCCATATTGATGAAAGAAGTATTCACATACTATCCTACCAACATTCCTTAACTTTATTCAGTAACCTGAATACTAAGAGTATTCATGCAATCAGTGCAGAAATAGATGAAAAAAGTAAAAAGAAAAAGGTGTTCAAGCAACCACTAGACACTCATCGCCATCATGCAGTTTAGTTCAGTTTTACAACACTGAAGGTAAATTGGGAAACGTTATTCTTTGCCACTCAGTCTTCTCTAATAGTGAGACAAGATTGGAACATCCTAGATTATCTGCTAAGCGAATCTCTACATTAGAAACACAAACTGAAAAAGCAGCAAGATCACCAAGAGACTACCAGTGATTTTCCAGAGACAATTTATGAGCCACTACTTACAGGAATGACTCTCATGAAAATCTGATTCTCTCCCTGGGAAATTTAATAATTTTCACTTTCAAAAGAGATATTTAGACATTATACTAAAATATTCCAAAAATGAATTTATATAGTAAATCTATCTTAATTTAAATAATAAAGATGTTATCATATATGCAAACAAAAGCTAAGATAAAAAGCAAGCATGTACAATTGCTTACCTGATCATCTAGTACAGGAAGTGACAAATCAAGGAAAGGCTCATGGACCAAGGATACCTTTAAAGGAATATTCAAGAGTCAAATTTAATTTTGTTTGGAAGTGGCTTGCTTGTTATCAATAGGCTTATTTGTCTGTAGCCTTGTTTGCATTCAGTGTATGCTTTCACTTGTGCATACAGACATAAAGCCCAGCTCATCTACCTTCACAAACAGCTATCCATGACCAAAATCTAGAGTCATATTAACCCAAAAAATAAGCAAGGACTACTTTTAGAAATTACAGTTTTCTGGTGTCCTGGAATGTGAGAACTCAACTTAGGGCAACTGATACCTGCAATCTGTAATGACATTCATCTAACCCACTCACTATTACCCTTAATTGCTTCATTCTCAGGATGCATTATCCCAATAATGCTTTCTTGCTTAGCTGTTCTCCTGGCAATCCCATGGTCACTCCAGTGTGGGAAAGGGAAAGACCTCATCATCTGATGGAAGCAGGGAAGGGCCCCTGCAAGAATACTGCTGGTAGCAGAATAATTTTCATTCACTCCACAATTGGTACTACTGGAAGGTGTTTACTAGGATCTGAAAATGAATTCTTCTGGCAGAGGCTGTTGCTGACCTCTTTCTGGAAGGCTTTTGAAAGGCATGGGAACATTAGCTTTGTAACATAAGAGAAGACAGATTCCAGCCAAACCATGCTGCAAACTCTTTGAAAAGCATGCAGCTAGTCAACTCTTAGAAGTGTATTAAGTGAAGCAAACCTCTCCAATTTCACTTATGTCTACAATTAGTTGCTTTGAGGTTCTCCTCTGGATTACATAAAATTATTCCCTAGGCTATTCAAAGCAGGCAGTTTACTTACAGTTCTGCATTCCTCACACATAATCATACTGGTTAATTCTCCACCAAAGATTCGGTCTACAAAACTTTGTATTCCCTTTTTCTTTTCATATTCTGAGAATTGACAAAGTACATAGAAAAGTTAATATTATGGTACAAAATATTCTGCAAACCAATTTAGTTACAGCATACTGAATAAAGAGAATACAGTATGTAAGACATGATGGAACATGCTGTCCTGCTCTAGTTTCCTCAGGAAGTACAGCAAGGCTCTTCAATTAAGATTATTTCATATATCAAAGGAATAGGAACAAAAACACATTTGCAGAAGACAGCCTGACTGAACCAACAATTCTACCACTTTCTCAACTCAAACACACTTCCTTATTTTCTCAGAAGTATTGCATCCCAGTAAGAACTCCTGTTTTCTCTCAGGACTTAACTGTCAGAACCTAAAAAACAAGCACCAACTTCTGTCTGTATATGTGCTCGACAAACAAATCCAATTTCCTCATGTTTTATATTCGGTGTAGCACATAGTCTGAATTTAAACTTGTTCTTCATAGTCTAACCTAAGTTGTGTTGAAAAGTTTAAGAGTTCTTCTGTTTACTGTGATTCTGTTTTGTTTATTTCAGCTTTTCTTTACACCACTGTTAAGTAAAAATGGACTTACAGGACTGAATAAATCACTACACTTATGCACAAGTATTTTAATCACTCAGATGTTATGTAAGAAACTAAACACTAACCAAACATTGTTATGTATAATGTCTATAGAATCAATTCACTCTTACACTGTTAAGAGGAAAACAACACCGAGTTTAATAAGACATGTAAATAACTAGATTAACACTACTGAGCCTTATAATCTAGAAATACACATATTCAAGACATGGCCTAAGGTTGTACAGTTAAACATATATCTTTTAGTTGATAGCATTAATGTTACTTTGCATACTTAAATGAAACAATATTTTAAATTATCACAACATCCGTAACTGTATTTTACCTTTAACTTTCTTTTTAAGTTCTTCTTCATTTTGTTTGTTAGAGTCAGTCAATGCCTTCAGTATTCCAACACTCACTTGCTGAAATTTTAAAAACAAGTACACACTGTAAAACCTAAACTAATTCAGTTAACTAGTGCATTTTACAAAATATTTCAGATGGAGAAAAAAATTTAATCTTCACGATTAAGAGAATCAATACAAACAACACAAATGCCTGCAGAGACACAAAATAGTTCCCGTGTGTATTAAAATATAACCAATCAAGAAACAAGCCTGCAACTGCAGTGTTGTAATCCGTATGTCAGAAAATCAGTCTAAGAATTAAATACTTTCCCAAGTTACAACTGTCTAAAAAACCCACGGAATTTCCACAAGTCATCTTTCAGGCATTTCAGAAATTAAGACAAAATTACATTCTTCAGGGTGACTACACAAATTCCAAACTCACTTTTTCTGAAGAAGTTTTGGACAAGTTAATTGATTTCTGAAGTACAACATACCATCTATATGAGAATTGTTGAATTAACCACAGACTTTTACAGCACGCAAAACTGAACCCTTCTACTTGATGTTACTAAAAGGGTATGGAGATAGCTAGCACATTGCTTTCTAAAAAGGCAGAAAATGTAATTATATTAGAATTGCGTGTTACATATGCAAGAGATACAGGCCACAAACTTCTTTCTTTGAAGTCTTGTTAAAGAAAAACAGGAATATCTGTGGTTGCTCCTTCACAACCCCACTGTTTAAAGGCTGCCCAGTTCTACAGCTCTGTTGCCAATCTGCTTCAAGTGCGTGCTATGAACAGCACAAACCACTCTACAGATTTTGGCCTATCTCAGAAAGAATGTTCTTTCTCCCCTCAGCAGAGGGGGCAGTCTTCACCGGAGGTATGAAGAAGAAAGGCATGCCCAACTATGAAATCTGCACTCACTTGGATTTCTTCTGCTCTCATTCCATCAAGTAAGCAACGAAGCAACTCATGACTGTCCTGCTGCTGATAACCTTTAAATCGTATTGCTCTGTTAAATGAAACAATTGTAAAGTATCACAGAACTTAGAGATACACAGAGTGAAACCAATTCATATCAGACACAAAAGGATAAAGTCTCAAGTACGTATGCAGATAAAAGCAACAAGTATCTACATGTGGTATGCTATAAAAATCTGCAGATAGCTAATCAGAATGTCACTGAGTAACCTCCATTTTACTTCTATGTCTTTATATTTTGATCTTTAATACCTTCTTTCAAAACTTGTTAGATATTATATAAATTTTATATGCTGTGATGTGAGCTCAAGAAAAAAAAGAGAAGACTGACCTTTTTAAACAACTATCAAGCCTTATTCATATGACATGCAATTGTACAGATACTCACTTTTTACAAACCTGAGCAAAAAGTTCCTTAGGAGTGACTACCCCTTTATTTGTCTCTTGCACTTCTGTCAGGAACTGATACATGGCTAATGTCAAAGGACCTGGCTGATCTAGTTTTATCAGCTGAGGTTCCTGTTTTAAACAAAAGCAACAAAGTTGTTTTGCCTTAATTTGGTGACAGATCCTTCTGGAGTAAGTTTTCTCTTTATCTAAACACTTCAGTTCTTAAAAACGTTATTATCAAACAGAATACACGAAATTGCAAAAATTGCAATAAGTTAACCTGACAAAAACAATCAACACTTGGTCTCTCATAAGATGCTACCAAAACACTGGGCAAAGAACCATTAATTACTTGTTGCTTACTTGGAACTCTGGATTTCTGCTTTTATTAGAAAAAAAATACATTTCTCAAAAGGTACAACCCTTCTTTCCCACCCAAATCCCCTACTGTGATGACGGATGCATTAAGTTAGTGCTGCAGACTTCCTCTCATTTCCTACTTTGCATTTAGACAAATGGCACTATGGCAAAAGTCACTTATTTTCACCCCTTAAATAACCATAATATAACTATTCCTTTGATGACAACCAGTAGTAAAAAGAGTATGGAATCACTCTATTTCACTTTGAATGAAAGGCCTCTGCTGGATTCAGAAGCAGCTTTATGGAAGTTTTATGGAAGTCAGTGGTGAAGCTCCCACTGATTTTACATCTTAATCTTGTTAGTATTTAGATGAAACAGCTTTACAACCCAGAAATGAGCATTGCTTGTTTCTTTTACAGATAGGAAGAAACACACATTAGGAAGGTTGAAGCATATATACCATAGATAACTCGGGTGACTCTATTTTAACTGTTGCATCAGGCATTTTAGCTTCTTTAAGCAGCTCTCTCAGGACCGGAGTCTGTGATAAATTCTGCAGAACGTGAAAGAAAGACAAGGCTGGTAACTGGGGAACAAGATGAAGGGCAGCTGAGTTCCTCTGGTCATGGAATTTGTAGCAACCAGATTAGCAGCAATTTATTCTTTCAAAAACACAGGAGTGGTAAATGGAAACTCTAACAGTGTTCAAAAGTTAAAGGCGCATTCCATTCGCAGCTGACAGGACTTCAAAATGTCTTTTATATATCTATCACTTTAGATGGCAGAAACATTAAATGTACTATTCTTCTACAGACTGATCTTTCGACAGTGTGTTTAGTAGCGTCTGTTTCTAAAATCAAAAGGTAAGATCCAGTGTGTGTATTTACATGGTTCACACAAGATTATATATGAGTTTTAATACACATGAAAGAACACGTTTGTTCTATCTGAATCTTAGATGTGCAAGACACACAAGACACCAGTAAGCTCACCCTGTTAATATTTACTTTTATTTGATTTCCTGTTGCCAAGAGAGAGACATTTTTGTTTCAGTAAACACCCACGGTCTTTGGAGATTAATCTCTTATATCCTAAGAGGTCAGCAAGGGTGACGTGCCAGACTATCTCTTATTACTAAAATAGGAAGCTGGCATGCTTGATCTACATCACTGAAAGACACTGTCAATCAAAGACAAGGCAGTTTGTTATATTTCCCTTAGAGCAAGTCTGAACCTGCAGCTCCATTTCTTCATGTTTCTCCTGGCCAACACTATTTTTAGGAAGACCCCATCATTCTTGGCAGATAAAAATTGCAGTCTAGTTGTGTCAAGGTACAATACTGGGAGTGGGGTTGTTGTGGGATAAGATTTTTTGTTTTCGCTTGTTTTTTTCCCTGTTGAAAGCATTTTTAAGAGCAGCAATAGCTACTGTACCTGCATCACTGCATTAAAGAAACATGTATTCCCCAAGTTACTAAGTCCTTTCACAGGCACTTCCAAGTTAGTACTTGAATGTGAATTCTCTTCTTTAAGGGAGACTTCTTTTTCTTGTTCATTTTTGCTGTCTTTTTCTACTTTTTTGTTTTCAAATTCTTTGTTCTCTTGTTGTTTTTCTACTGAAATAATAAAAAGCATACCACATATCAACCCGGTAACAGGGAATGGGCTAGGAAAAAGTTATTAGAGGCAACAGTCATTTATGATGTTTAAACTTAAACATACGATAATTAGTTATATAATTGTATAAATGTAACAGTACTGATTTAGGTTCTTAAACTGTCTAGATAACAGGAGATAAAAAAAA